AAAAAAAAAAAAAAAAATTATCCACAAATGTTCCAGTGACTATGACTGCAGGATCACTGTGTGCCTAAATCTCTAGAAATGTGTGTATTGTAGCTCAAGTCATTACTAGAGACAACACGGGTTTTATGGATTCCTGTAGCCTCTCTGGCCTGTTTACTTCAAGGCCATTGCTACATAGACAATAAAAAAAAGATGAAGTCAAGAGAGATTCAGTTGTCCTTGGTCCGACTTTTGTCATCCAGTAGCAATCCTCTTAATGCTGGTGGAAATGGCCTTCATTGCTCACCTGTATTTCCTGCCACTGAAGCAGGGCTGCCTCTACGTGGCCTGGGAGCTAGACGGTAGAGTCAATAGAGACTTAGTAAACCAGACTTTTTGAAGTGTCAATGACTGAGATTGTTAATTGCATCCATTAAAAAAAATTATCAAGTTACAACTGATGTGGAATAAATTGTACATATTTAAAGTGTACAACTTAAGTTCTGACATAAGTGTAAACTCATGGAAGCATTGTTGTAATCATAAGAATGAGCATATCTCATCTGCATATTTTACTTTTGCTCTTTTATAATACATTCCAGAATATGCAGGCAACTTTTGACATTCCTTTACAACTGATTGACTTGAATTTTCTGGAACTTTATTTTAGACATCATAAAGCGTGTATTTTTTTGTGTGGTTTTATTTATAAAACTTCTCCTTAGGTAAGGGCCTGAGGTTAACTTTGGGGGTGACAGATATGTCCAACACCATTGATAGGGTGATGATTTCAAAAGGGTATATACGTGTATGTGTGTGTGTATGTGTCTCTGGCTCACGCCTGTAATCCCCACACTTTGGGAAGCCATAGCGTGCAGATCACTTGAGGTCAGGAGTCAGAGACCAGACTGGCCAACATGGTGAAACCCCATCTCTACTAAAAATACAAAAATTAGCCAGGTACAGTTGTGCATGTCTATAATCCCAGCTGCTCAGAAAGCTGACGCACCGAGAATAACTTGAACCCAGAGGTGGAGGTTGCAGTGAGCTGAGACCACACCACTGCACTCCAGCCTGGGTGATGGAGAGAGACTGTTTAAAAAAAAAAAAAAAAAAAAAAGTGTTCATTC